GGAGAGTATGGAGGGATGGACACTGGGAAGAGGTAACTATGGGGAGGAAGTGGGAGGGGAGCTGCTGCATTGTAAATTTTGGTCACTGACATGAGACAAAGTATATGTGAACTGCTGTATGGAAAGTGAATTAGCTCTGTAAATCTTCACCCAAACCACAATTTAAAAAAAAAAAGTGGGTTCATTGGGAATGATAACTGGGGAATGGGAAAAATTACAGGTGGACACCCTGTTAGAAACTTAAATCTCTCACTTAGAAAACAAGGGCAGCAGATGCATTACCTAACAACCAACTCTCTTGACCTGCAGATTTGGAAACAATAGGTCAGGATCAAAAATGGCGGCTGACCCTGCTGCTCTGAATGTGGTCACTGTCCACAGTCCCAGCATAACCCAGTCTCCCCCACCAGGCTCCTGAGAGGGCTCACTACATTCCAGAGCTTTGACCTACAATTCTTCCCATTCCAGCTACCGATCCAGTACACTCATCTTTTACAAAATCTGCTCCAACTTTACTTTGTTGGCCATGACAGAACCTGTTTAAACCAGTTCAAAGCCTGCACCTTTTTAAGTACTAAGATCCATAACCATATAACTATTCAAGGTTGACAACCAGGTCTTGGTTACCACGTGCTCCTGACCACAACCTGGAGGACTGGATGGGGAAGACCCACCAGGAGCTAGTGTTTGTAATGCCTCAGGCTTGTTGTTAGCTCATTTCCACCCTTTTAGTTACTGGTGTTAACTCACACCATTTACAGACCAGAAAATGAAAGCTCAAAAGTTAACACTTGGCCAAGGCCTGAGAGCTAGTAAATGTCTGAGCAAAGACTGGATCCTAATCTTTGAACTCTACCCTCTCCGAAACTCGATCACAGTATTTCATGTGCGGGTGTGTGCACACGTGCACACACACATACACACACAGCAGGTCATACTTAATACGAACTGTCTCTATCCCCATTTCCCTCTTCATAAGGATTTGCCTGTCATTCTCCTCCTTGCTGCTCTCAGAATTTCTAACTCTCACCAGGAGAGTTAGAATTTAAATTTTCTGAAGAGAGTATTAAAATGAAACAGCTCTTCGGAGTCTTCGTCGACAAACCAAGAATTAAAGAATGACTGAGATGGGAGCTTATCTGCTGCAGTCGACTTTAAAATGGCAAGAGGGAAAAAAGAATTCAGCACCAACATGTCTTCATTCTCAGCCTTCGGCTATATTAACAGGAGTCCCACTCCGGCAGCAATGAGATCCAGACAGAAGCAAGAGCAAAGGTACACACGTGCCATGAGCACCTTCCCCAGGTCTCGGGGCAAAGCCTACTTCCAGAGGCAATAACCCCCCGTGGACCCAGTGGCCCGGGGAATGCACATCCGGGGGGTCAGCTGCCCCTCCCCGTGCCTCGACCTCCGCCTGCCCAGACAGGCCTGGAGCGTGTTGGCTTGGCCCAGGCTGGACCCTGAAGCAGGATAAAGGCAATGCTTGCCATCATCTTTACCAGCCTTTCACAGGACCAATTTTTATTTTCTTTTTCAAGGATAAAGTTTTAAAAGTAAAAAATGAAACCACGCAACAGCAAGATACACAAGGAGAACTTCAATGTAGAAAAAAAAGACCCTGCTGGGACGAGAAGAACCAGAAACGCTTCACAGATGCACAAGAGGCTCCCACTGTAAACAGGCTCAAGCTGCTGTACATTTTCCCTCACAACATCAGGGCTTCATTTTGCTCAGCCTGAGATCTCGCTCGATTTCAAACTGCCTGTGATCCACTCGGTCTAGAAAAGCCTTTCGTTCAATGTACCTAGGAGGAGATGAGAAAGGCGTCTGTCAGTGGAAGCCAGCAGCAGAAACTGCCTCCCGGGCACCGTCTCCCACCTCCCCCACTTGGCCAAGGTGGGACCGCTGGGTGACAGCCTGCGCAGCAGGTGGACACAGCCGGTGCCCAGGGCACACCATGACTCTCAGGAAGAGCCAAACCACTTGCACCTGGTCAACAGGAGCATTTCTCTGGTTCAGATATAAATGCAAATAAAATGAAAAGGAGAAGGCAACAACTGATCAGAGGGGAGGGACATAAGTGACTCGGTGGCAGGACAGCACTGGAACTGTGTAACAGGATTTTAAGGAGGGAAGGAAGGACATGCTTAGTATAAGCACGGGTGAAATCCCTGCCAGTCACTGCTTAGCCGGGCAGCCCTAGGGCAGTGTCTCTGAGCTCCGCTTTCCAGGGCAGGAAGACAGCAGTGCCCTATGTCCTGGCTGCAGTTACAGAGACTGCCAGGAATCAGTGGTGCGTTGAGCTGGTGGGGAGAGGAAGCTATTCCTTCCACATACACAGATCACAACATGAAAAAAGGTCTATCTGAAAATGGGGGACATCTGTAGGAAAAACCACCTCAAAGTACTACCGTGATGGGGCAGCAGGCAGTACTTGAGACACTACAAACTGCACTTAGAATGGTCTGTCTTTCTTTTTTTTTTTTTTTGAACATCTTATTATTAGTAATATGTATGTATTAAAATAAATCTATGTTTTATGTAATGTTTCAAGTCCCCAAAGACAAATAAAGATTGGATTGATAAAGATACTGATAATAAAAGGCAATTATAATGAAAACCTAAAAAACCGAGTTACAATGACATCGTCAGAAGGGAAACTGGTCCTAAGTCAGGGGCTGCCTGTACTTACAAGTGCACCTGTTAGAAGCTAACTACTGCAGCTCTTTCCTTGCCCTCGCCCTTCTCTACTCTCGTGGAAGACAATTTGGGGCCAGGTTGCTCCTGCTGGATGCCAGAAGAGGCCTTTCCTTAAATCCCCTGAAAGAGTGAGGCCTAGTGCCTCTGTGCCCAGAGGCCACACACAGGCTCCCTTCAAAGCTGGCGCCCAGCTCCCTAACCTGGGGCTGGGATCAGCACACAGGTTTCCTGGTACCCCCAGTCAATGGGATGGGAGTGCAGTCCTGAGGCAGGCGCCGGTGAGCAGGCACCAGGCCGGCTGCTTCATGAGACACAGCTGCACTCGAATGGACCTCTGTACCATAAGCTCCTGCGATTCGCCTGGGAGAACAGGTCTCTGCTGCCAGTGAGTCCACTGAGAGCGCAAAACTGTCACTGACAATGGGGGTCGGAACCGATTCTCTGCACAATTTTCCTGTGGCTGCGCCGTGGAAAATGGGCATCTGCCTTACCAGGTCATTCCCAGGATGGTGCGAATGTTGCTGGGTTCAGGAACCCGTGTGCCTCTGGAGGGCAGGGCCTTACGCTCCCTCCCCACAGTACCCTGTGAAGTCCTGGTCAATCCATCTGCTCGCAGCCAAGCCTGCTGCCACTAACCCTGCACTATAGATGGGCAGCAAGAGGTACGCAGGCTCTGAAGCCAAAGGCTCTGAGTTCAAATCCTGATTCTGGGCAAACCACATAATGTTGCCAAGTCTCATTTTTTTTCTAAAAAAAGAATAAGGACTCCTCCTCTGCTGTGCTGTTGAGAAGACGAAGGAGACAGTGTATAGGTGATGCCTGGTGCAGTGCAGTGTGCCCTAAGTGGCAGCGGATGCTATCACTGTTGTTTGAGAAGTCAGCTTCCACCAGGGCCAGGGAGACCTGACGTAGGCAGATGAAGGAAGACAAGCAGCCAGCTCTTGCGCATGTGTTATCAGGACTAGGAGCCACCAGCCGGCACCAGGTGCCGAGCTGCTTTGTCGAGCTGCAAACACAACTGGGCCTACTGCTCTGCCACTGGATATAAGCCCTCAGAGTGTCACAGTTAGCAAATAAAAATACAGAGTGCAACACAGGGAAGAGGTAACTACACAGAGGAAGTGGGAAGAGAGCTGTTACACTATGGGGAAGTGCGGTCAGTGTCACGAAACAAAATGGTTATGAACTATTTCCTCTGTAAACTTTCAACCAGATCCAATTAAAACAAACAGGGTGCCCAGAGAAACTTTAATTTCAGATAAATGAGTAAACTTTTAGTATAAGTATGTCCCATGCAGTGTTTACTTATACTAAAAACTACTCATTTTTTAATCTGGACCCAGAATTTCTCTGGACACCCTGCACTTCCTCTGGAGGCCTCTGCAGGTGGAGAGGGGAAGACGGTGCCCGGGGGCACTGCTCCCTTACCTTCCAGGTAAGGAGGGTGTGGGACCTCTGCTACACAAAGGGCTTTGAACCAGTTCATTCTGGTTTGACTTCCTGCTGAGAACTTGCCTTTCCACCCAGAGCCTCATAATCTGCATTGTAACAAGGTCCCCAGGTGATTCTCACAGATCTTACTAAAATACAGATTCCGACTCAGTGTATCTTGGGTGGTGATGTTACGTGCCGTCCAGCCCCGACTCACAGTGACCCCTCCTTGGGTTTCCAGGCGGTATCACTACGGATGTAGATTGCCCAACCTTCCTTCCTTGGAGTGGCTTGAGTAGAGATGCAAATTCTCAGGAGGGGACAGAACTGGAATGAACTGGTTTGAAGCCCTGAAAAGTGGAAGAGTCTCTCCTACACCTGCCATTTGGCATGGTTCAGTTTAGCACTCAGGTGGGATTAGCCTTTAACCCTTTGTGATGTGCAGGACATATAGCACCCACCAACATTTTCAGCCTTTCAGGTTTCTTTGGAAACTTTTATCCCAGTTGCAGTATGTGTTGTTACCTGGTGGAGACCGCTATAACTTTGTGAATCTGAAGAAATGGGCCTCATGTCAACAATCCTACCACCAGAGTCCACTTGGGACATATGTGTCCCACATAATTCTATCAAAATTCCTAATACTTCAAAAAATTTTCCCCTTAATTTCAGCATGCCTTCCATTACCGAAAAGATATAGTATCAAAATAAATAAATAAAAGCAGAAAATAATTCAGTCACAAAAGGGTTAAGACGTGAGCCTACGACCTTCTCTCAGTGACCCACTGTCACACATCCTGTTTTCATTGGTGCTGTGGCCTGCACGTGCCCGAAGACCTCTTCTCTTCTTAAGACCACCAGAGCGCACAGTCACTACAGGAGCAAGGCTGAGAAAGGCCATGTGGGGCTAGTGCTGGGGGACAGGGCTCCCAGTGCAGTACTCTGGTCTCCTCCTTACCTTTCACTGGCAGTTTATTCTAAGGCGACCAGCAGTTCGTGGGGGTGGAGGTGGGGGTGGCAGAGACACAGCAGAGGCTCTGAAAGTCAGAAGAAAGCTCACCAACTGCCTAATGAACATGTGCGGCCACTGCTGGAGGCCCCCGACTGCGGCCCTACCAAGAGGAGGATCTGAAAGCTGCTCACGGACAGAGCTTAGCTCTCCTCCATTCATCTCCTCTGGCAGACAGCACAGCTGGAACACTGTGCGTCCCTTTCTATGCAGAGAGGAAACAAGGGAGACTGCAGTGGGGATGTGCAGACACTTGGGAATGGCAACCCACTTCCAGTCTCTCCTCCCGTCCTTGCAGCCCCACACGGCCCTGGGGGAGAGCACTGTAGAAGAAGCCAATGTTCTGCTGGCAGGGAGGGGGCTTTCACTGCCCCTCAGAAGTGCCCAGCAGAAGAAAGGGGTGGACCACGCATGAGAAGGCATTGTACTTTTACGTACCTACGGGTGCAGGAGGAATTCCTGCATGTTTCAGAGCTACCTGTTGGGGCGGGGAGAGGGAGGAATGGATGTGGCCTTGAGTTTGTGCTTCTTCCTGACTTTCCTTTAATGAGAGGAAGTCACACTTAAATCAGGATGCTCACTGGCCGGTAAAATGGCCTTGCAGGTTCTGGGAAGCTGTGCTAAGTCCAGCTGACCTTGAGACTATCAAGAGCAAAGGCTGGTGAGGCAAGTGCAGGCCAAGGTCAAGTTCAGGGAAGGACTCAGGTGGGCATGAGGCACACACGCGGAATGCAAGTGAATCCTCAAGGGTAATCCAGACAAAGGCCGTCAGCGCAAGTCTGGTGTTGGTAGTCCCCATCGCAGCCATCTGCTCACAGGATTCTTGTGATGGCCTTGGTTTACTGCCAAGAGCTGACCCTGAACGAAACCTCTACTGGACGTGGCTCCCCAAGTAGAGAGCCAGAAAAGGTGCTGCGGATGGGAGTGGTGGAAGGATCTGGGCTCTAGCCCAGGCTCTGACGTTTTCTCTCCATGGGTCTTTGGGTAAGATATTTAATTTTCTGTGTTTTTTTCCTTCTCTGTAAAATGGTAATAAAAATTACCATACTCCTCAGACAACAGATGAAACTGGGTAAGAAGTGCTTTTGCAGACAATCTAACAACCAATAGCTGTACAAGTGGCGAAGGGCTTCTTGCTTCCCTTTGTGGACTCAACTGCATCTCTACAAAGCCTCAGAACCAGGACACCCGGAGCAGAGACCAAATGGCCCAGAAAGGAGGGCTCCTTAGGAGGCCACCACCTCAGAAGTGGCCCGAATGCACAGCCTGTTTAAACCAAGTCTCGGGACGCTTCCAGCCATGGTAACTGGGTTACAGTCCCAGAGCAGAGCTGCCAGTGCAATGGGGACCATGGCTCTTGCTCCCTTCCTGTCCTGGTGCTTTGCTGGCCCCAGGCAAGCTGGGGTGTGGGAGGGGAGGATCGTCCCTTCCCCATGCTATTGGCTGATGTGGCCCAGTTCAGAGCAGCAACTCTTCTGGGCTGAGGTTAATAACAAGTGCTAATAGCACCAAGAACCTGAGGGATTTTCTAGCTTTTCCTTTCAAAACCAGGTTAGATGCAACAGGCTCTGACATCGTTTTGGTCTTACAACCCAAATTACTTTTCTGCCACCAATTTTTCTAAGATCTAGGCCAATAAGAAGGGAAGGAGAAATGAAAAAGTGGAGAAGAGGACAAGATAATGGGAGAAAATGCTACCAGGGAACATGCCAGTCCTTCTATGTGGGCACCCACATTGTGAATAAAGGATGGACACCCACCTTCCAAGAGGTCAGAGGTCTATGACAGAGAGAGGGGTCTTGCATGGGGACATCATAAAGCTCTGTCACATAGCCACCCTGTGGCTGGATGCCCACGAGAGGCCTGCAAAGAAAGGGCACAGCCGGGAGCCGCAGGGAAGAATGAAGTGGGTGCAGACCATGGAGGATGCTGAGGTCGAGCTACGCTAACTCTGTGCTCCGAGCAGAATCACGTTCAGATACCCTAGCAAGTGTTCCCTGCGGCACAACCATGAGCAGAGAAGTGCAGCAAACCTCCATTTCCAGCACCGGCAAAGCCATGGGCAATGGCAGTGCTGTGCAGCAAGAATGAAGCTCCCATAGAGACAGATGTAATGGCATGTGTCCTTTCTGGCCGGGAGAAATGTCACCTGCCCAATACTACACGGCCTGCCCCCTGCTGACTATACTGGCCTGCCCCCTTCTGACCACACGGCCTGCCCCCATCTGACTACACTGGCCTGCCACCCTTCTGACCACACGGCCTGCCCCCATCTGACTACACTGGCCTGCCACCCTTCTGGAAGAGCATCTAAGTTGCAAACATATCCAGAGCCAGATTGAAGAGCACTGACTTTAAGTTTCTTCTCCACTGCCTCCTTCCCACGTCACCTCCCAGCTGGGGTGGTTCTGAAAGACTGACTCCTGGGGCTCATGGAGATAGTTTATTCAGGGAAAGAAAATTATATTCTCTGGTCCTCCCGACTTTCAAATCACAAAAATGACTGGCTCCAACCCCAGAGCTCCCTGACCTCCACTAGATAGGAGAGCAGCAGCAGGACCCCTGCAGGTTGCAGCCTGGATCTCTCTTCTTCTCTGGGCATGGGTCCCTTCCCCAAAGTCTGCTGGCCTCCGCCTTAGCACTGTTAGGAAGCCTCTGGGGCTTGGCCACTCGGAGAAGCCGTGCAAAACGCCAGAGCACGGGACAGCTGACCTGATGCTGAAATGCGGCTGGGCCCTGGGAGTCAGGGTTCAGAGGAAAGGCAGCAGTTCTCCCCTGGACAGGAGAGAGAGTCTTAGGTACAGGCATTTTAACCAACCTTGCAACTGGAATTAATGTCTGGGTGGAGACAACATTCAGACTGAAAATGTTATGCCCTTCTCTCCTGAGCAGTTAATTCTAACCCTACTAGGCCCCCAAACAAAAGCATGAGTGGGACAGGCGTTGAGATGATGCAGGAGTTCCCTGGCTGGGCACCTGTTCTGGGCCAGGTGCTGGTGAAAGCACCGCGAATGAGACCTGCCCACAAAGGCTGACCTTGTAGCAAAAGGTAACAACATACCTCCGCTGATCCTAAGTGCAAAGGAGTAAATGAAACGGGGCAACGTGACTGAGGAAGATTTCCTGGGGCTGAGCTACTCTAGACAGGGTTGGTTTAGGGGTCAACATTTGAGCTGAGCCCTGAACGACACACAGGAGGAGACATACAGGAGGAAGACCCCTGGGAGGGTCTGGAGACAGAGGACCACGAGATGGGCAGAGGCTGGGTGGGCACACGGAGCTGGGGAGAGCAGGGTAAGAGGCAGGCGGTACCAGCTCAAGGAGTATTGGGGGCCAGGCAAGGTGTTTAAGGTTTATCTTAAGTGTTACCGGAGGGCTACCAGCAGGGAAGAATTGATTTCTATTCTTAAAACATCCTTCTGGGCACTGCACAGTGCATGGGCTCAGGGAGGCACAAGCAGCAGCAGGGGTGCAGGGAGGAGGCACCCGCCGTGGTCATGGCAGGAGATGGTGGTGCTTGAACTGGGTGGTGGGAGTGGGGCTGGGCAGACATGGGTGCGTGAGATGTGTGGGTGAAGGAACCGCCAACTGCACTGGCAGGATATGATGGAAACAGGAAATCAAAGATGACTCCTTGGTTTTCCCCTCAACAGTGGGGTGGGCAGTGATAGTGCCATTTTCCAAGAAGTCTGAGGAAGGAGTCCATGCACGGAGAGAAAGCAGGTATTCGGTTTTGGATGTTAATTCTGACGGGTGGAAGACACAGGCAAACAGCGGTCTCAACCAGACAGACTGTGAATCTGGAGCTCCAGGGCATGCTCAGGCAGGGGGTGTTGTTTTGTTTCTAAAGTCCCAGGAGAAAACGGTAGCTAAGCCATGGGAATAGTGCGCTTTCCCAGAGGAGGGACTGTGAAGAGCAGAGGCAGCTGCAGGGCCCAGCTCTGTGAGCCCCTAGCTGAAAACACTAAAGAGAAGGAAGTCAGGGAGACTGGGAAGAGATGCCCCCAAGCGGGACTTGCCACCATTGTGGAAAATAGCCCAGAATGGGAGGCAGGAACGCATCCGGAAGGACTGAACAGGAAGGAAGCATCGAGGTTCCCACAAGCCCTTGACAGCATCGTCAGGAATGGCAAACGGGGAGGAAGAGGAAGTAGAGGACTTTCTATCTTCTGAATGTCAGCAAAGGCCACTTTTGTCCTGCTGTATGCACCTTGGGATTCTCCACACATCCTTTCATCAGGCGATGCCTTTGCTCTTGTCAGGACCTCTGAAAAGAATCTGGGGCTTGCCTTGGCTTTGTCCAAACCAACCACTCAGGTCTGCGTTGTGACTTCCGCACCATGTCACACAGGGGCCAGGTACACTTCTACTTGGCATCATCTTGCATCAGCTCTTCTGATGCTGGCTCTCGAGCTGCCATACAGGCTCACTGGCAGCAGGCCGTCCTGCCCCATCCTCTAGAATTTAATGCTCATGGTTGGCCCAAGTGAGAACCAGAGCTACAGCCACTTCCTGGGACCAGGTGCCGGGTGCCATTAATCTGCTTGCAGGAGCGAGGAAAGGGAAGTGGGTGGAGGTAGAGGCGGCACTAGAGAACGCAGGTGAGAAGAGTAGGGGGCAGGGCACAGGCGTCCTCAGAGCTGCACTGGGAAAACTCATCAGACCTGCGGGGACCTCAGGTGAAGGGTGCAAAAGAAGAGCGTGGAGATTACGGTTCACTGCTCCCTAGCCCACGCAGGCTAGTCTCCATTGCCTGAAGAGGTCCTCACTGGGAAGATGTCCTTCTTAATCTTGTTTTCTCCTCCAGCTTCCATTTTGTTAACTCTCCCTTAACAGCACCACTCCTTACTTTTACGAGACCTCTATTAACTTGAGCAGAACAGATGTCCAACCCCTACAATCAATACCCAGACAAGCAATACACTGGCAGTCCCCGGCTGCCTTGATCACCGGTGCGAAAGCAGAGAGCAGGAGGAAGCTGTGAGTTACCAGAGCTTATTCGAGGAGTGGGGGAGGTTCGAGGCAGAATGTCAGGGCAGCTCATGCCTGGAGTCAGAGGCCGGCTCTTGATGACATTGAGGATGCTGCCGGGCCCGGGCCCACCCCCATGGGGCATTTTATCTTGGGACAGGCTCACCTAGAAGTCTAGTGATTAAACAAGTTCATAAAGTCATTTAAGCTTGCTTTCTTAAACTGCTGGTAAGTTTCTGGGTTCATTCAAATAATCCTGAAGCCCAATTTAGAAAGGTGATGCCAAAATGCACCTGTGACCTGTCTTTATTATACGTTAGCTTATTAGTCATTGCAACGACTACCACTTCATGCATGCTTTTATGGGACAGGCACTCTGCAAAGTGCTGTCCCTATATTTCATATATGTATCTAACACTCTCTGTATAATTTATACAGATTACGCAGATCATCTCTTCAATTTCTTGCAACCATCAATGAGGTGGGGTGGTACCATTATCTCTATTACTAGCAAAGGAGCTGGCAGAGCCAGCGTGCTGCTTGAGGAGGGGCACCCAGGGTAGTCTGATGGACCATTCATAGCTTCCAGTTACTGCTGGGGGTGGGATGTTGACCTGAGCCATGGATCATTTCTACAGTAACCTTCTACTTAGCTCCTTCCAAGGTCACCGAACTAAACACCATTTCTGTCTTGATTTTTTTCTTTAATCACCAGGAAGACAAATATGACAAAAAGGGTTCCTTTTGATAAGTTGAAGATAGAGTTTATAGGCATTCTCTTTGAATCCCAAGTATGAGGCAGCTGGTGCAAGGGAGGGCCTGCACGTTGTCTGAGGGCCTGGTGTGACAGGTTTGTTGGTTAAGGGTGAAGCCCTACCGTGGGCCACCGTGACATGGACAAAAAGATTTCCATAGTTATGTGACAATATCTAGGCCCTCTGGTGACTCTGTTTTGGAAGTATTTGAGCTCACCTGGCTTCTCAGAAGGCCAAGTCACGCAGACCAGGCCCAGGCTGGTGGTGAGCCCGATCCCCCCATGTAACCAGACCGGGAGAGTCACAGTTCACTGGAGCTACAGTTCAGCACTCAGCCTGACAGCCATGAATGCTCCCTAAGGGAAGTGCTCACACACCCCTCCGTGCCTCCACCTCCAGGGCTCTCAGTGACAGGCCCTGCCCCATAGAGCACTAACACTTTTCACCTCACTAGGAAAAGCTCCTAGCTGCCTAAATTGAGTAGTTTGCAATAAGTGATCTCATGTTCTTAGGATTTTCAATGGCACCACATCTTGACTTCTCACCCCTCTTTTCCTCGATTATGGATGGCCAGCTCTTCTCCAATCCCCTCTTCTTCCTTGAAGCTCTCCCAGTCCAATTTGGACTTCTCTAAGGTGCTCATTTTCTGCTTCTTGGCTCCAATTTTCCCCAAAAGGCTGCTCATGCCACTTGATCTCTTTAACCTAAGGAAAGAGAAAACATGAAACAGCATGTGAAAACCAGAATCGTGATGAACCATGTTGTTGGTACAGGGTTCCCTGGATTAGAGCTATTCATCACAATGGGAGCCATGTTCCTATCCTCCTGACATGGGGAACACTGACAGTACTCAGGATTCCAATGCCCCTTCCTGTGAAACATCTCTGGCTGATCCAGTGAACTGCAGACAGAAATCCTAACTCCTCTGACCTCTGCCTGCCCTGCAAGACAGGTCTCCACTTGCAGACAGAGAGAAGAGTCGTGTGGTAAACAGGTTGGCTTGGAGTCACATGCCTAGGTTCAAATTCCAGCTCTCACTCACTATGAGATACTAGGTGAGTCACTTGAGAGCACGTGCACTGGTTTCCTAATCCACAAAGTGAACACCTGAAGACTCTGGGTGTCAGAGCGTATCTGACATGGGAAATGCTTAAGCCATCCTCGGCACAGTACAGGTACTGTGACCGTTAGCCACTTGGAATCACTGAGAGTGGTTACGCACAAAGCCCCAGGAAATTCTAAGACAGAGAGAACCAGTTCCCCACACTAACGAGCGAGGAGTCATAGTCATTTTAAAAGGATTCTAAAATCCGTCTCCTTCAGACTCCCATGAGCCAGGGCCTGGTTTGTCCAGGAGGCAGAGAGCAGTCCTGACTCTGAAAGCAGGAACACGCAGGAATACCTACAATCTCCTATGCTCTGCTTTCTTGTGAGGTGCTCATGGATAGCGGGAGCAACCCCACATGTCCAACCCCAAGTTCTGGCAGGTAAAATATTTCATCCATGGAAAATAGATGAGCTAAAACTAGAAACACAGAATGCAGTTTATAAATAAGAGGGTGGCATTAGGAGAGGAGTAGTTATGGTAATGTAGTGGTTAAGGTACTGGGCTCCCAATCAGAAGGCTGGCAGTGCAAACCCAGCAGCTGCTCTGTGGGAAAAAGATGTGGTAGTCTGCTTCCATAAAGGTTTACAGCCTTAGAAACCCTATGGGGCAGTTCTACTCTGTCCTATAGGGTCACTATGAGTAGGAGACCACTGGATGGCAATGGGTTTGGTTTTGGTTACCACAGGAGGAACTACAAAAGGCATGTTGCTTTGAGTTGCTTATGAAACAAAACAAGTTACACACTAGTCTGCAGGAAATGGGGCTTTTTCTGCTTCCAAGGGATATGAAAGAATTAAAACATCCCGGAACCCCGAGGAACCCCGAGCTAATGTCGCAGGGTGGCCTACTGATGACATTGCTGATACCCTTCAGTGGCCTAAGAGGCTAGTTCCCCAAATGCTTTCCTATCACTCCTCTCATCATAGTCTCACTACAGCCCGTGGAAGAGGACCACTGAGTTGCAGAGTCAGAGGGGAGCCTTTAAGATGATCTAGGGTCCTGCTGACTGAAAGCCAACCTTCTGCTGCGCAGTATGGAAACACCATGTTGTTGCTGCTGGGCAGAAAATGCCATCCCCACCACACAGTCAGCTGGTGAGCAGCTCAGACAGGCCAAGTAGGCCTCCCAACAAAGCTCAGAGAGGTTAAAGCACACAGGGAGGGTCAACGTGATAGAAGACACACCTGCAGTACACACCTGCATTTCCCCTGGCTCTCTTAGGAGCACTCTGCCCTCTTACCTCTGAGATAAGAAGCTGCTTCAGAAATTTTCTGATGGAGGCTTTACTTCCCAATTTTGGTTACAGAAGTTCCAAAGAGCTCTTCATGGCTTTCAACTCACAACCTCTAAATGTTCTTTTCCAGTTAACGACTCAATCCTTACACCAATCTCTCCATCAACACATACACACATACACGCATACACACACTGTTTACCAGAAACAGAATACTGAGTGGGGATATGGACACTTGTTGTTGTTGTTAGATGCCATCGAATCATCTCCGACTCATAGCGACCCTAAGCCCAGCAGAACAAAACACTGCCCAGTCCCGCACAGCTCCGTGATCCCTGCTATACTTGAGGCCATCGTCACAGCCACTGTGTCAATCCATCTCATTGAGGGCCTTCCCCTCTTTCGTCTATCCTCCACCTTACCAAGCATGACATCCTTCTCCAGAGAATGGTCCCTTCTGACAACATGACCAAAATAGGTGAGATGAAGTCTGGCCATTCTTTTTGTTGTTATTTTGCCATCAAGTCAGACATGACTAATAGAGACCCCTCCTTAGGTTTCCGAGGCAGTATCACTACGGAAGTAGATTGCCCAACTTTCCTTCCGAGGAGTGGCTGGTGGGTTTGAACCGCCAGCCTTCTGGTTAGCAGTCAAGTGCCTTAGACACTATGCTACCAGAGCTCCTTGGCCTTTTTTTTTTTTTTTTTCCAAATTATGATTTGGGCCAAAATCCACAAAGCGAATTCACTCTCCACACAGCAGCCCACACACACCGTCTCATGACATTGACACAACCCACCCCAATGCAACAGCTACCCTCCCAACCCCTCCTGACAGTCACCTCTTCCCCGCGTCCATCCCTCCATGCGCTCCCACCCCCCGAGCCTTCCCCCTGCGCAAAAACAGCACCCCCCCATGACTGTTCTCTCCAAGGAGTGCAGCCACCTGAGGTTCATGTTCAACTCACATGCCCGTCCCCTGCTTGGCTGGAAGCCACAGGTGCTGGTTAACTCCAGACCCGAAGGGCAGACCCAGTGGCTCCACCTAGCTCCACCAGACCAGCAAACCTTGTCCCCCACCTTTCTTTTCCCCCAAATGATCCTGAGTTTTGCTCCACATCGCTCTCCCTCTCCACCCAGGGTCTCCCACACAGATCCCCCTCCGAGTGGCCCACAGCAGCAGCCGGGCACCATCCAGTTCCCCTGGTCTCATAGTCGTATAGCCTGCGGATTGCATGGTGCACCAGCCTCCAGGACCAACCGCTTTCATGATTCCCCGGTTTTCCTCATTCTTCTTTGCCCTGGATGAGGAGAGATCCATCGTCACATCTAGATGGCTGCTTGCAAGCATCCAAGACCCCAGTCGCCACTTGCCGAAGTAGGAGGTAGAACAATGTTCTGTGTAGTATATTATGTCCTTGGCCATTCTTAATAGCTTTCAACTCTATTCACTTCTCACCCTCTGGCCCTAGTTCTCATGAGTCTATCCTGTCACACGGGTAATTCAACAGCTTAACTGGGCTCCTTGACTTCTATTTTGTCCTGCCCCTCACTTACCTACCCCATCCTGGTGTCTATTTGACATGCTATCATGAATTTTCTAACATACAAAACTTATGTCTTTCTGCTTCAATGTCTCTTCCCTGGCCCCTGCCTTTATCATAAAGTCTAAACTCCTTAACTCACAAAGTTCTTCCTGATCTTCTCTTGCCCCATCTATCCCTGTAATCTATGCTTAGCCATAAAGCCCCGAATCTGCAGTTTCCCGAACACCTTTACCTCCCTCCCCCTCCCATCCATCACCTCTTCCAGGAAGGCTTCCCTGACCTCTCCCAGATCACTGGTGGTGTTCCTGTTGCTTCTTTTCCCGCTATAACACTGATCTCTGTAGCAGATGCCTGGAGACTCCAACTTTATCTGCAGCTGCACTGGTCAGTTCTGGGCCAGCCCAGACTCACTGCTGACAGCCTCCCCAAAAAACACCCAAAAGTTTTCTGTTTCTGGCTCCAGGGCCTTCTCTAACCCCACAAACACTGCCTGTACATGAGGTGGACTTCATACCAGTGGAACAACCCTCATGGGGAAGAGGAGCTGGGGGGTAATGGTCCAGCCTCCTGTCCTCACACAGGCAATTCTGGGAGATACTGTGAGTGCCTCTGTGATGTTCTAGTGGCACCGTGTCCTCATGGCCTTGACAACCCACTCTCGTATTGGCTGTCCCACTCACTCCTGCTTCCCAAGATCACTTCTCAAACTGTCTGTACCCAAGTCCTTGTCTGGGGTTCTGCTTTGAGGGGTATCTAACCAAGACATCTAGGAGAAAAGTGATTTTCCTCTTGTTTGTTCCAGCTCCCTATTGATATTTAACTTTCTGTATCTTAAAACTTCATAGATGTATCTTAAAACTACATAGATGTAGCTCTGCAAACAGTAGGTGCTCAATAAAGTCAACTATGTTACCTGGATCACAGAACCAGCTAGTGAAAAAGAACTAGACTTTAGAGAGTAAAAGATATTCAGAAACCTTATACTAGGGGCTTTTTTTTTTTTTTCACCTTTATTGTGGTGAAAACATATGCCAAGACATTCACCAACAGAACAGCTTCCACATTCAGAACTCAGGGGCACTGATGCCATTTTTCATGTTGTGCCACCATTATTGCTAACCTTTTCCAAAACATTCCACCACCATTAGCACAAACTCAATGCCTATCAAACAAAAGCTTCCCCTGTCCCCCTCCCTCCTACCCCTGGTAACCACCAATAATCCTTGGTTTCTCTCTCTCTCTCTCTCTCTCTCACACACACACACACACACACACACATTTCTTCCCCAACCTATCTAGGATTTTCCCTCCCCTCCCCTCAAAGAACATTTTTCCTTCCATATTTAAGCCAAGAAAGTTTTCCATATATAAAACGTTTCCTTGACTTTTAACAACAGTGGACTAATACAGTATTTGTCCTTCTGTGATTGACATTTCACACAGCATAATGTCCTTCAAGTTCATCCACGTTATGTGGTGTTTTGCAGATTCTACATTATTCTTTTAAACTGGAAACTTTTAAGGGAATACATTTCTACTTTGTTCTCCAATTAACTCTCAAAAGACCCCCACAAAAAAACAAAAAACCACACCATTTGCCATTGAGTTCATTCTGACTCATGGACCCATGTGTTACAGAACAGAACTGAGGTCCATCCACGGGGCTGGGTTTTCTTGGTGTAATCTTCACGGAAGGTGATGGCCTTTCTTCCCCAGCACTGCTGGGCAGGTTCAAACCACCGACCTTCTGATCAGCAGCTGAGGGCAAATTGTCTGCAGTACTCAGGGACCTCTAAGCACACCCCTGGTTCCCCAT